CAATATTTGCATAGAAACATGTATTCAAAAGACCCAAAGGAGACATGGGCATAGAACGTGATGCCTTTGGTTTGGATTTCTTAAAACCATCCTTAAAGTCAAATTCAACTTAAAGTCACTTATGAATGTCAATTATTAACTGAGGAACTATGTTAAGTGACTGAAAATGCACACTGTTTTAACCTATATATTGGGTTTACATTAGGTTGCACTTCTACTACTGAAGAAGAAAATTAAAGGCTTGATTAAACATTCAAAGACACAAACACAAGTAAATACCTCTTAGCTCAATAGGGAGATAACAAAACCATTAGTATATCAACATATGAGCATGCTCAGCAAACAATAATTGAACAAATGTTTATTGTGGCATAAAGAAATATATAATCACTTTAGTGAAAGCTGTCTCATTTAATTTTTTCTATAAATATGTAAGGTAGATAAACTTATCTGCATTTTTCATATTATGAAACCAAGTTTCCAAAGATTAAATCACCCATGGATAGTTGATATATTACTTAAGGCAAATAATATTAACTACTTTAACTGATAAGCCCCCAAATATCAGTGGCTTAACACAATGAAATATTGTTTCTTGCTCATATTATCATCGAAGGAAAGTGAGAAAACTGGTACACTGAAAGAAGGTGTGTGATATGCTACTTCACCCATCATGCACTGACCAGGAAGCTCCCACCACATCCAGCTGGTGGATGAGAGTGAAAAGGGGTAATGCATTAGAAATGTTTGTAGGCAAAGCCTAGAAGTGGTACATACCACAAAGATTAAGAGAAATAGATTTGTTCTAACTGATGAGAATCAACCTAGTAATGGCAGTTCTAGCCACTTCAATAAGGCAAGAAAATGTGTACAGATTAGAAAGAAGAAAGAAAGAAAGTGAGCCTACTTGCAAATGCCATGATCATCTATGTAGAAAATTTCAAAAGAAACCCTGTAACTACTGAGTTAAACGAAGTATAAGCATGTACATAAAAGCATAACACAAGATCAATTGCATTTCTATTATCTAACAGTAAACATGTGGAAACAAATTAAAAACACAATGCCAGCCCTCCATGGTGGCACAATGGGTTAGGGTGTAGCACTGCAAGCTAGCTGCAGCGGCTTTAGTGTCATCCACCCTGCCACAGGAGATGGCACAGCAGTCCTCTCCTGTCTCTCCTGCTGCTCCCCTCAGCAGTGTACTTTGATGATCTGTCTGTTCTGCTCCCCACTATGTCTCCAGTGAAGCCACCGCTGCACCTCTGGCCTGTACCCCAATTCTGTATGCATAAATAAATAAATCTTAAAAAAAAAAAAAGAAAGAAACACGATGCCACTTGTGAGCACTCCAAAGAAAGCAAAATACTGAGGCATAAATTTAACATGACATGTATAAGACATGCTGGAAATTACAAAATAGTAAGAAAATAAATCAAAGAAAACTTAAATGAGTAGGCACTAAATAAGTAGATATCCATATTAGGAAAAAATAGATCTCAATACCAACCTCACATCCAAATGCCAAAATTCAGTCAGGTACATAACAGGTACATAAAAGCTAAAAATATGAAGCTGCTAGAAGAAAATATCTTTGTGACCTTGAGGCTAGAAAGACTGCTTGGGACAATAGAAAGCTTTGATTGTAAAGAAAAAAAGTGGATGACAGACTTCATCAAAAATAAAATTTTCTGTTTATCAAAAAACATCAGTACAAAGGCAAATCGTAGTAGAAGGAAATGTTTGCAAAACATTGTTTGAACAATTGATTTATATCCAGAATACATAAATATCTCCTAAAATTCTGTTGCTTTATTTTATTTAAGTTTCACAGTGGTATTTTCCTGTTATTATAAATATAATAATGTCACAATAATCACATCATATCCCATCTCAATTTAAACAAATACGGAGAATAAAAAGCCCTATACTCTAGTATCTTGTGCCTCTATATATTCTTCCTGTTCCCACTGAAGATCAAGTTGAGAAACACTGCCCATTCTTTTTCTCCTATGACAAAAATATTCATGACGGCCAAGAATGTTAATTTAACAGAAAGATAAAAGTTAGAAATAGCAGGGTAAGCTGCCTTCTTGAAACAATTTTTTTAAAAGACGAAATTGGTACATATTGAAGAGCTCTTGTTTAATGATTTGAAGAAATCTGGGCAAAATGAGGATTATCAAAGAAGAAATGAGAGAATGGGAAGAATTAATAGTGATTGAAAACTAGATAGAAAAATCCAGCTCAATGGCCAAGCCACCATCACCCTCACTCACACTGATGCCTTTCTTCACGTGGTCTTTGGGAAGAATTCTCTACCGTGGTTCTCCTCCACCTGAAGAGTTGTTCTCTGCTTTTCAGGTTCTTCCCTACCTACCTGACCTTTGAACAGTGAAGAGCTTCCATGGCCTAGTTCTTAGAGCTCAGTCTTTTATTGCTCCCTGGGTGACCTTACCCAGCCATTTAAAGAATATGTTATATATGTTGCTATGAACCGAACTTCCACATATATTAATCCCTAAAAAAGATGAAAGATGGGAAGCTAGATATATGCATGAGTTTGAGATAAGTGGGAACACAAAACTTAACTCCTACTTTGAAAGACTCGGCCACAAAATAAAACAGGAAATCACATTAAAGTGCTGAAAATGTAGCCTGCAATATTTTTGCTAATTTAACTAAAATCAGGTTAAAGGATGAATCAGGCATACATCCTTCTTACTTTCCAGAATGTATAGTCTGCCAGAGGAAATGAAAAATTGTTACAAAATAAAGAAGAAATAGATGTTACCAGAGAAATGACAACTAGGACTTTGGGGTATATAGATAAATAGAAAAGCTTTTAAAAGCTCTATAAAGCTGAATTCATCCTCATTTTGCTTTTACATCATGTTTTCAAAATAAAAACTTTTCCTGATTTCTTTTATTATTAAACTGAAAGGAAATGTGTAGTTTTCTGTCCCCCACCTAATGCTACTCTGAGTACTCAGTCTTATGATTGAATTAGTCTTTTCATTGAAAATACCTGATCTATCCAAAATAGGATACTGAGGATTAATTAACATATTTCATTTTACTAAAGAGCAAGGGGTCAAAATGGATAAGCATGCACATGGGTGACAGGGACAAATGAAGAGAGGCTATTTCTATCTCAGCCAGAAATTGAACCCAGGTCTGATTTTAAAAGCCCATAACCCTTCAACTTAGAAACCTGTCTCAAATGTAAATGCAAATTTAAATTGTTTTTTAAAGGAGGGAAAGGTAGCAATAGAGAAGAAAACATTTCATTTATAAGGGGGGTGGGGGTATTGGCAGAACCAGTCCCTTGGAAGAACTAAAGAAATGCAAGACATCCAAAAGTTAGTGCATCCACAGAAACACTAAAGATATAGAAACAGACATAATGATTCTTATTTAACTGCAGAATGATACAGATTTTCTTCAAAACAATTACCCCAATTTGGGTTTCAGTGAAATTATCACCACCCTCCCCCCCCTGCCCCCATGTGTAAAGGTTAAATGACCACCATGCCCCCTGTTCCTGGTTTTTGCCCTAGGGACAGGAGACATCAAAGAGCTAGGTCTCAGCCAGTCTAGAGATTTTGATTCCTGACTTCAATTCTTACCCTCCACAAAGACCCCCAGCCATTTGCACTCCCCATTTCACACAGGCTTCTGCTGCTCCTGCTCTCATTCTTTTCCAAGATCACTGTGTCTCTTAGATCAAATTTACAACAATCTATGTCCCTTCTTAATACTGCTAAACACCACTTATTTTTTCAAATTTCCCTGAACATAATCCCATAGAGTCGAATCAAAGGGTTAGGTAGACTGTCAACCAAATCACCAGCCATATGCTTTGAATATTCCAATGTAGAATTGATCTTGTTCTCAAGAATATACATCTATATTTGATGTTACTTTTTAAAGAGTTCCTTACAGCTATGTATTCAAGAAATGTCACTATCTTTTTGACTACTCAGCTTAATCACCACTATCCAAGAGACACAGTGATAGATAGATGATAGATAGATAGATAGATAGATAGATAGATAGATAGATAGATAGATAGATAGATAGATAGATAGATAGATAGATAGAATCACAACTGCTAACCAAAACTAGACACTTCCTTTAAATGTAGGAAGTTTGGAGCTTGGTGATAATGCCATTTCACAGTCGATTTACTGTATTACTTTGTGAACAAATTGCCATAAGCATCAAAGTAATGTTATATGCTTTTCTCTCTCTTTTCTCCAAAGAAATACAAGTGGGATACATACAATGTCAGAAATAATTAGGCAAAATTACACAATCCCATTGTGACACTAGCATGTTTTTGGAGTTGAATATTTGCTGTGAAACTTTAAAATCTGAATTGAAGTATTCTTATTCTAAACAATATAATTTTTTTCTTTATTATAATGATCACAACACTTTAAAGTATGACATAATATAAAAGTGTTTCAAAATGTTAAGACTTTTTACACATAAATAAGTATATGCATAAATGTAAATAAGAAAATAATTCTGATGGCAAGATAGACTTACTATTTAGCAACTTACCTTTAAAAGTATCCACTGAAGTATAAAGACAAAGTTTGCATTCAGAGAGGGAGAAGATATATCCAAAAACGTTAAGAATTTATGAAGAGAGCCCTTCCTTGTGGCACAGTGAGTTAAAGCACAGCACTAAGAAGCAACAGCCACTTCTGCATGAGTTCAATCCCTGCCTGCCCTGGAGGTGACCCACATGGCACGACAGACCTCTCCTGCCCCACCCGCTGCTCCCCTCAGCAGTGTACTTCATCAGTCAGCCTGTTCTGCTCCCACTCTGCCTTTGGTGAATCCTCTCGCCACCCCTGCACCTCTGGCCTGTACACCAGTTACAAATAAATAAGTCTTTTAAAAAAAATTTATGAAGACTCAAAATATTGTCACATTTTCCAAGAAAAAATATCTTTGCATTCACTAACCAGCAACGTGCTGTTTTTCAGGAACCCTCCATTCAGAAGCAAGGCAATGGCACTTCCCTCTCCTCACACAAAATGGAACACAAGAGACAACATAACTGAAGAAATTACAGCTTCACACTATTGAAAGACAATCAAATCTAAGTAGCTTCCAGCAGCAGGGAAATAACCAACAGCTTCTCCACAGCACAGACTAGAAGGAGGCAAACATGAACATCACTAACTGTACCACAGACTCCGGCGTGGCTGTGAGACCCAAGACTGTCACCGAGAAAATGCTCATTTCCATGACCCTTGTGATCATCACCACCCTGACCATGTTACTGAACTTGGCTGTGATTATGGCCATCTGCACCACCAAGAAGCTCCACCAGCCAGCCAACTATCTGATCTGTTCTCTGGCCGTGACAGATCTGCTGGTGGCTGTGCTCGTCATGCCCCTGAGCATCATGTACATTGTCATGGACAGCTGGAGGCTTGGGTACTTCATCTGTGAGGTGTGGCTGAGCGTGGATATGACCTGCTGCACCTGTTCCATCCTCCACCTCTGTGTGATTGCCCTGGACAGGTACTGGGCCATCACGAATGCTGTGGAGTATGCCCGAAAGAGGACCACCAAGAGGGCTGGACTCATGGTCCTCACTGTCTGGACCATCTCCATCTTCATCTCTATGCCTCCTCTGTTCTGGAGGAACCACCGTCAGCTCAGCCCACCCCCAAGTCAATGCACCATCCAGCATGACCACGTCATCTACACCATTTACTCCACTCTCGGGGCATTTTATATTCCCTTGACCTTAATATTGATTCTCTATTACCGGATTTACCATGCAGCCAAGAGCCTTTACCAGAAAAGGGGATCAAGCCGGCATTTGAGCAACCGAAGCACAGATAGCCAGAATTCTTTCGCAAGTTGCAAACTTACACAGACATTCTGTGTGTCTGATTTTTCCACTTCAGACCCCACTACAGAATTTGAAAAGATGCACACCTCCATCAGGATTCCTCCCTTTGACAACGATCTAGATCACCCGGGAGAACGCCAGCAAATTTCCAGTACCAGGGAGCGCAAGGCAGCACGCATCTTAGGGCTGATTCTGGGTGCATTCATATTGTCCTGGCTGCCGTTTTTCATCAAAGAGCTGATTGTAGGCCTGAGCATCTATACCGTGTCCTCTGAAGTGGCCGATTTTTTGACATGGCTTGGCTATGTCAATTCTCTTATCAACCCTCTACTCTACACAAGTTTTAATGAAGACTTTAAGCTGGCTTTTAAAAAGCTCATCAGGTGCCGAGAACATTCGTAGGTCGTAAAAAGCCAAAAGGCTTGACTTTTACCAGCCTCGTGCGTGGGCAAGGGTAAGGGATGCAATTTATTAATTCCTGAACTTAACTGGTTCAGGAGAATTTGTAAGTATGTTTGGTCTTGTGGTTTGTTTGGTTTTGTTTTGTTTTGTTTGAGGCCTGTTATTTGGTGTGCTGTTTTCTACCTCTGGTCTTACTTGTGGTACATAATTTCAAATAAACATTGTCATTTAAAAAACCCAGAACTTTCATAGAAGGAATAAGGTAATAAAGTAAACACCTTTTTAGTCATTTCAGTTTACCCTGTAGTTAATGATTGACAAGATAAATCTTCATTTGCATAATTTCTTATTACATAGAAATCAAATATCTGATAACTTGCCTTCATGTGGCATTAAAGCTGAGGTTATGGCTCTATATGCATACAAATTCCCGTGGAAATTGCATGGCTACATAAAGTATAAAAAAAAAAAATGGTGTGCTCTTTTCCATTGCTTTGCAGACTAAGTTAGAATCATTTGCTGTGACTACATAGCCTACTTCTTTTAGGCACAAATAGTACAGCTGGTATGTCATTTTTAGTTTATGATTAGATAAGTTTCTTGATTCTCTAAAAAAAGAGTCTGAAATGAATGCATTGGCAATTCCCAGGCCTTTGACTATGAACATTAAACATGAGCAAATACAAGTCAAAACCCACTTCAGCCATGGGGTGGCTCTATCACCTGACAGACACCAGGGCCTGTTCCCATTCTGAGCTGTGTCCCAACCTAAGCTTCATCTCTATTCTCATTCAGCAGGATTAGGGTAGGAAAACATGCCAAATTTGGAGAACTTTTAAAGAAGTTTAAAGGGGTGTAGTGATGCAATGAGAGAACATATTACCTGAACAACTATTTTGGAGAGTGTTACTCATTCATTTACCAGTTGTGCCCTTTGACAGAAATAAAAAGTTGAATATCTATGTTCACAGCAAAAACCAGCCATCAGGAAATGAGTGTAAAGTATGTCTCCTGGAATCACTGTGGCTTCACGTCAGACCACACCCTGTGGCTGGAAGGCTGCCTGCAGAACCTGAGGCCACAAAGCGTGTGGCCTGACTTGGCCTCAACTGACCTGAAGTGACTGCTCTTGTCATGTGGAAGAGCCCATCACTAAGTCAAGAGCCAGGACAGAAAGGACTGAAAACTTGTAAATTCTTGTATACTCCTCATTCAGTGACTGTTCTAAATTTCTGCTCATCCTGTCCACAGCCTCTCCCTGTCACCTCTCCACAGACCTTGTCTCTTCTTTGTTGTCCAAGAAGATATTGATTTGTCCTTTCCATCTATTTATTTTCCCACCATATATACATCCTTTCTCTCTCTCTCTCTCTCTCTCCTCCCTCAACCCCCTCAAGCACCTTTCTTCCCTTATTCTATCTAAATCTCACCAATTAATGCAAGTTTAACAAGTCTCTAGAGCTCCAGAACAAATTTCTTATGGCCCTACTTCCCCATCAAGCTCATGCTTCATCTCATTCCTAACCCTACCAGTTGAGTTTCTCCTTTCTTCAATCATTTATTCTGCCTCCCCTTCTCACCCTTCACTGATTTTTCTATCTTTTGCTATCTAAGGGTGCCTTTCTCAAGAACCTCCAGACAGATCGCCCAAAGGTGATTTGCTAGTAGAAAATCTAGTGGGCTTTTCCATGTCCTTATCTATTCTCTCATGTCTCTCCTTACTTGTTTAGGCCCATGACTTGCAGTATCATCTTCTCTCCTGCTTCTCTATCTCCTCCTTTGTATCCTCATCCTCATTCTGGGACTTTGTCTTCAGCAGTCACCTCCTGCCTCTCTATGCTTCATGCCTGTGGTTCTTGCATGTGTGTCTTTAGTTCAGCTCTCTCTCTTTCTTTAACTCCAGACTCGTGTATTATGTCTGGTGAACATCTTCCTATGAATACTCTGTTGGTGCTTTACACACAGCCTTTCTACACTGAACTCATGATTATTTGTCTTTACTCAGACTTCTCCATGTTCTCAGTCTGTTAACAATATTTTCATGTTTTTTTATGATTCCTATTAGATATTCCTATCTCTCTCTGTTTTCTGTCACATCCAGATAGTCTTCGAGTCTTGTATATTTACCTCTACAGAAATGTCGTATATGTCTCCTTCTCCTTCTCCAGTATTTATGGTCTGTCTTCTTTCCTGGACCAAATCTTATCTGCTCCATCTACCTCAGGACTCCTTCTCCTGCGATTCTGCCTCTACAAACCTGTAAGCTACATCCTCCTAGAACAGTGGTCTCAGAGTGACATCTTCAGAGCAGCTGCATGAACACCTCCTTGGAACTTGTTCAATATGCAAAGTCTAGGGCCACGTTGAGAACCTACTGAATCAGAAATTCTGCTGGGGGAAGGGCCAGAGGTTATTATCTCTGTCTTAACAAACCTTTCAAGAGATTTTATTGAGTTTGAGAAACACTAGTTCCCCATCAGAATAAAACATATTATGATTCCTTAGTTCAAATTCCAGGCTCCTTCACTACATGACTTGAAACTATACTTTCCAGACTGGTCTCACCACTTCTTCTCACCCACCTCATATGCTAGATAAGTATAGATTGTTCTTGTATTTTCTGAACTCTGCTTCAGAAACCTGACCCTGAGGTTTACAACATTCTTCCATCAATCTTTCATCATGAAGCTCAAATGGAACTTCAACTGTGAAGTCTTCCTGGAATCCTCCCACCTCCTCTGCCATATGGAAGTCTTCTCTCCCAGCTCTGTGCTCCCCTAGACCTCATTTATATGTCTATTATCATATCCATCCTATCTGTAGTGTGTTTATGTGTGCTTTTCTGCTGTCTGCCTGAGCAGATTGTGAGCTCCTTGAGGGCAGAGATTGTATCTATCTCATTGGTGTATCACTATAGACACCACACTGTTTTATACACAGCAGGCACTCAATAAATGTCCATTCATATGAATGGAATTCTGTTCCTGGAAGAAAAAATGTATACGTGCCATCTTTTCTCAGTGAGAAAACCAATCTTTTAAAATCCCATGTGTAATATTGACTTCTTTAATTCCCAAAACTTGCCCTGTCATTCCCTGGAGGCTTCTACATGAAAAAAAAAATGGATTTTTCATTGAATATAAAGGATTGTCCTTTGTTAGGATTCAATTTAAGTCATTCTCAAGGAGAACCCTACCTTTAGTAGTTCAAACAAGATAGTTTCTTTCTCTCTCACAGGACAGTCAGGTAGGAGGGCTGCCTAGAATGCCCTCAGAGATGACCTAGGGATTTAAGCTTCCCCCCAGCTAGCAGCTGTGGCTTCCCCTTGGGACTTCTCTGCATTTGCATGACCAAAGCTGACTTATCATCGTTTCCATTCCAGTTCACAGAAAGGAAGAGAAACAACTGAAGAGGAAATAGTTTTTTCATGGACATTGTACATATCATTTCTGGTCCTATCCCATTGGCAATAACTTGATCACATGACCAAACTAAGTTGTAAAAAAAAATGGTTAGGAGAGAGTATCTCTAGGAGGGAGACAATGAGCAGTCTCTACCACAAGAGCAAATTGATTTCTATGTGTGTAGGTCAAATATTATCAGTGAAATCAAAAGACTGTACACCTAGTGGTGATCTATATGTAAGGACATGAAGATTTAAATTATAGGTGATTTCACTGAGATTGTGCGTATTCTGAAAATCCAGAAAGCTATATATAAGCAACTCTTTTGCATCATCACTGAAATTTCTTGGCATTATGAGAGTTTTAAAAATTAAAAGTCTAAGTAAATAAACAGAAAGCAGATGGGTAACTAATTTTCATTTAGTCATTTTCACTAATTCATTTCCAATTTACTACAGAAGTCCTTATATTTCTCTCACAACTACCTCTGCCCTTAGCAAAGAAGATTCTGTATATAGTTCCTAGTTTTAATCAAATCTGTTGCAAAAGTATCTATTGTGTGATTTACTCATTTAACCAGTAGTGCTAGCTGCTATTGACTACTATTATGTACTACTATCTCTTTAAATTAAAGCTTGAGTGAAATAAGAGTACCTCTGATATGTTTGGTGTTTCTAATGCAAGCATCCTCAGATTAAAAGTAAACACAACAGGTGATATTCCTATAAATCCATTAACTAGTAAATTAGGATATCCTGGTTTGTGAACTTAGTGAGAGAATTCTTGGACATAAGTCACTCCCTTTTAGATGTCATAGATGCTTTGTTTATAACTGGTAGACCACTACCTGCTGTGTATAACTAGGCCTCTTCTTAGGAACTACAGTTTGCAAACTCTAGTAACTATGTGTGAGGCAAGTTCTGGTGTGATTCCAGCAATTGCTACAGATCCAAAGAGTCTTGGTTTTAACCAGTTAATCTCCCCTAAAAATCATTAATAGGGGCTCTCCCTGGTGGCACAATGGGTTAAAGCACTGCATTATGAAGCTCTTCGAAGCCATTGCAGCATGAGTTCGATCCCAGCCAGGAGCTGATCCACATGGCGTGGCAGACCTCTTCTGACCCGCCTGCTGCTCCCCTCAGCCATGTATTCAGTAATCTGCCTGTTCTGTTCCCCACTGTCTCTGGTCAATCCTCTCACACACTACACCTCTGGCCTGTACCCCAGTTCTGTAAGCATAAATAAATAAATCTTTAAAAAGTCATTAATAGATAGAATTGGTAGAAAGGCTTTCAAGGACAGTAAGTGGTAGAGAAAGTGCGCTATGAATGATGGTGGTCAAATATGGTCGCTTTGGAAGTGGGTGCACTAAGCATCAACAGAAGAGGCAATCCTACATATCTAAAATCTAAACAGCAATATAATCCGACATTACCTCTATAAAAAATATTATGTAAAAAAAGACAGTAAGTCTAGGCTCACCTAGGGACTCCAGGCTTAGGTTAAAAGGGGGAATTTCAGATACCTGTCATTAGGAGGCGGAGGTGGTAGGAAGGAAGATATTGACTTTTCCTGGAAATGTTAAATTACCCAGGGGAATCCTCTATCCCCACAATCTCCATTCCGTAGAATATGTAGCAAATTTCAACCTTACCATAAAAAAGGTTTGATATTATTTACTTTAGAATAGAAAGGAATCACTCTGAGAGGATAATCGCTTCAGGAAAGTAAACTTTAGGCTCCCCAGAAGCTCTCAGCACCTAGCACAGAGAGCAACGCTAGTCTATTGTGTTTAATTGAAATGAACACACTGACTACAGATTT